GGGGGGGGGGGGGGGGGGATTTCAGCTCTCACGGGTCCATAGGGCACTTGCTAGCACTCAGTGGGGAAACCTCACTCACCAGGTGCACTGGGCAAGGTGAGCAACTGCTCTACACAGCTGGCTCATACAGGTGTCTCAGGGAAGCAGGAGACACTCCAGTGTTAAGACGAGGGGCCTGGCTCGAACCATCCCTCCCTGATGCTCTTCTCTGGCTGTAGGGCTTGGGTAATGGCACCTGCCTAAGGGGCTGTGAGAATTCAGAAAGAATGAGATCCGGCGTGTAAAGCACAGTACCTGGCACACAGCAAGAGCTCAATACATGTCAGCCTCTCCCCTCTGCCTAAGCTTCCTCCTCCTCGCCATTCATACGAGGTTTGGTAATTGTCCAGACCTGGGTTTCACCCTGGCTCCACCTCTTCTTACCTTCAAGTCACTGGGTCTCAGTTTTCCTCATCTATGAAACAGGTACAATGAGACTTTTACTCCAAGGCTGATGTGAATGTTCAGTATGATTGACAGTTCGCCTCCCTCAGTCCCATCAGCATGAACCCAGTCATAGTCTATTTTAGCTTCCATTTTTATAGCATCTATTTCCATATCTATGTGAGTCAACTGGTCCTTAAAACCCCCAGAAAGGGAGCCAGGGCCAGGAAACCCAAGGCCAGGCCTGAGCTGCTCTCGATTTCACCCCACTCCCGTGTTCTTTCACCAGCTCTGGAGGCACAGAACATGCCCACCTCATTCAGCCTCACGGCCCCCATTTCCCACAGCACCGGGCCTTTGGGAGGCCATTGCCCATCCTACACACAGAGTCAGGAGATATCTCCAAAGCGAAGTGCAGGAGTCCCAGGACACCACCCAGAGGGTGCGGTGAGGTTTCCCAATAGTGAGGTGCACCTCACCTACTGCAACTGCACAGGAGCCAGGGCTCACATGGGGTTCCAGGCTACAGGGCTGAGGATGAAGACATGTGCCTATGTATAAACTACCACAGCACATTAGCATAACCCTTCTGGAAAACACAGCACCTTGCGAGTGTTAGACATGTCAGCTTTTGGTGCCATGACACTACTTCTAAGCATTTGTTCTAAAAAATCCTCAAATGTGTAACAGAATGTCCACTGTGGTGCCAAGCTGGACATAACATCTAACCATTGGTTAGGATGGAACACATCAGAACAGTTAGTGGACCGCTCCCTGTCCTGGTCAGATGTTTCTGAAGACCCGTTAGAGGTAGAGAAGTGATCATAATAATGCTAAGTCAATAAGGAACAAATGTGCTCACACATTCCTGAGGCTCTCAAGCCTACGTTCCATTTTACAGTCTCAACAACAAACAATGGAAGGTACTCAGAATAAGGTCTGGTCCCAAGGCTGGCCTAACATTCTGGTGACTGTTTGGTTTTTTATCTTTTTCTCTTCACACTTCTTCCCCCTCCAACATGAAGCTTTTCATGAAGAAAGCACACCGCTGAGTCTTGCTTTGAGACCAAAGCGTCCAAACGTAGTACCGGGTTACACGTCCCATGAGAAGAGCCATGTGGTCAGGGAGCCCTGTCAGCGAGCAGGGGGTGTGGAATGCATCTTAGATCAATGGCCCGATGGACTCAAAGAAGCCATCCCCAAAAAAATTGTATAAAAAGATTTATTGAAATTTATCAATGACAAACAGACATAAAACTCAAAGTTTGGCTCTTCTGAGGGGGAGGAAAGGAACTGGTGCAGATGCTCTTTTGTACAGATGAAACACGGGCCAGGAAACACGTCACTTCTAAAGCAATCCAGAAGAGGACAGCGAAAGCAAACCTGTACATTCACTAGGAATTTGCAGTCATTTCAGATTCCCACTAGGTAAGAAAATACAATTTTGCGCTAGTTTGTCCGTGCTCGGGCGTATGAAAACAAACAAACAAACCCAGCCGACATGCAGCAACATCTCCTGCACTTAGGTTTGTAAAAATGGTTTAAGCACAGGAGTACATGTGGAAGAATTCTCTTGTCATTTTGTAAAACAAAGCGTTCTAATATTTTACAGAACAAGAGAGGGGAGTTTTTTAAAAAATCTTTTAAAGAGGTTAGCGGTTAAGGGTTTGCTTCTTCTCTTTTCATTCTAACCACCAACTCCATTTTACTCAGGAGCCTGCTGTTTTCAGCTCTCTGGCTCAGAGCTCCTACTCCTAAGAGTGACATCAGAGTCGTCTTCGTAGAACGAAGCCCACCACCATCTGTGAAGAGGGAAAGGGAATGAGACGGGGACTGTCCCCAGCCAGTGCCAAAATACGCCTTTAGGTTGCTATTTAAAACCAGGGCGGGCGTTGGATGTCGCTAACAGGCCCAAGAAATGCAGAAACCACGCGAACCAGAACAAGAGGTAAGATGTGGCTGGTGCTCAGTCGCTCCTGGGCTTTGAGAAACCAAACTGAGGCAGCCTCGGCCTTCCAACCAGCTCAAGAGACTCGGGAGATACCAGGAAATGTGAGACCTCCACACCATCCTCTCTGAGGGCGTGGAACAAATGCTCACTTGGTGTGTACTCAGCTATTGCAATTACAGGGACAAAAACAGACACAAAAAAAGTAGGGGGAAAAATAAAGAGTGGCAGTAAAAATAGTATTTTATTCCACCCCCTCCCGCCCACCCTCTCCCCACAACCCCCAGTACACTTTTCCCCTCTCGTTCCCACAGCAACGTTACAATCAGAAAAAAATAAGTTTCGGGGGTCAGGATTTGGGGGGTATGGGTAAAAACAGTCAAATCACAATAGGAATTTTTCAAAATAGGTATCCACTTAGTCATCTTCTTCTCCTTCATCTTCAGGTTCTCGTTTTCGCTTCTGACCCTTTTCTTCTTCTGGAAGAGTAAGGAAAAGGCATTCAGATTAAAGAGTGGCCCTACCTCTGATTTACCACTCCCTCCCCTCCCCCCCACCCCAAGCCAGGGGACCAGACATCTAGGAAGCTTTGCCCTCCTGGCAACTGAGCCAGGACATCTGCAAAGCCAGGCAGGCACCTGCAGCCTCAGATGGGCATGTTCTGCCCATTGCCAGGTCCCTGGGGTCTACACAATCTACTGTCAACAGAGGGGCTAGCTGCCACCAGCCAAGAGTACAAAAGCTGCCATACCACCAGCAGCCTCTTCTTCATCTTCCTCATCGTCTACTTCCCAGTCGTTATAATCTTCTTCATCCTCCTAGGAGAGAAGATGTGTGCCGTCATCAGTAGCGCCCCGGGCCACGGACCTGCTGAGGAAGCCACTTTCCCCAGCACCGATCTCAAAAAAGGCAGGTCATCTCCAGCCTCTCAGAGCCCCATGCAAGGACATTCTTTCTCATCACAGACCCCTTTTAAGACTCTATGGAAAGCTTTAGGCTCCTCCCCAGAAAATACCCCTATCACATACAATACTTGCAAACAATGTCAGGGGCAGGGGGGCGGGGGGGGGGCGTGTGTGGTTCCTACCCCGGGTCAAGACTCCTGAGCTGAAGTCCCTACAATTCAGGCAGCATTCTAATCCATGCGCTGCTCTCCTAGGAGAACAGGTTCCCAAGCAGACTCTGCCATGGAAAGTAGGCCACCCTTCCATCTGTCCTCAATCTAGTGCTGGCTTCAAGGAAGACCCCAGTTCCAGCAAACACAGATTCTGTGGGCAAGTCCAACCTCACCCCTCACAGCCCAGCACCATCTTGCAAACTTGGACCACTTGGAGGGGAGAATAAATTCAACTGAGGGCATCATCCCAGCTTGGTAAGATCCAGCCAGATGTGCGACTTCATTCTCAACACAGGACCCTTGCTTTATGTTGCTCCCGTGTTACATGCTAGTTAAATCTCTGCCTGTTGAACACTGTTCCTAAAGCATCAGGCAAGCCATTGTTTAAAAAGAACTTGGTGATAGACTTCTTTTGGTCAAGGGAAATATCCTTTTATGTCACAAAAGAATTCCTTAATCAGTCTGTTTGCTGAGACTGGTGTGTGTGTGTGTATATGTGTTTTTGTGTGTAAGCTCTCCTTTACTGAAAGCTGGAAATCTGCAGATGGTCAATGAGATCACACACACACACATACACACATACCCCAACCCTGCACGCTGCAGCTTCTGTGGCAGGAAGAACAAGACAAAAAAGCCCATTAGTCAATACGACTTACCGCCCTGTCCTGGGAGTGGGGGAGGCCTGTTTTCCTAAGGGTTCAGAGGTGAGCCTAGCAGCCTACACTCAGGGAGAAGAGCAACCAGGCAGGAACCAAGCCCATGGACCAGCTCTCCTCCCCGCCTGGCCCTGCCTGCCTCTCCCAGGCCTGGGCTGTGCCGGCTGGGAGGTCCTGCCCAAGTGGGTGTGCACGGCAGGTGGTGTCTGTGTGCTCAATCAGGAGACAGAAAACCGGGAGAAACCAGGAGCCTTGTCCATGCTGTTATCATTTTAAACCTCCCCACGTCTAACTTTTATAATCAGCAAGAGCTGATGCAGAATTTTGAACAAAGCATGGAAAATGACTCTGCTCTAGAGAGATTCAGAACACCCGAGACAAAACCCAGCACGCTGAGCCGGCATCTTGGAGAAGGAAGGGTGTGAAAGCTTAAAATAGCAAGTGGTCAAACATCCTCGTCAGACACTGTCCTTAAGCATTTGACTCATAAGTGAGTTTATCCTCTTGACAATGTAATGAGTTGATCCCTATTTACAATCCAGATGGCTATTTCACAGATGAAGAAACAGGCCCAGAAAGGTCGAGGAATTTGTCCAGGGACACACAGCTAAATCTCTGTGCTATGTTACCACTCACAGACACATCACAGACTTACCAAAAAACTAGGAAATAGTCAATGTGTGAAGAAAATGGCACTACTTCCACTGTGTGCACTAGACCCTTGTCACTGTGATTTGGGACCCAGCAGTGTCTTTCATTATCCATCAGTTCAGGGCAGTCTTTGATTTTCCCTAATACACTGTGAGTCCTCAGTGAATTAACATATGAATGCAAGAGGGCAGGAAATGGGGACATGGTTGCAGTAAGAACTAATTTTCACACAGAAATGAGGGCCAGGCTTACCCCAGCAGGTGAGGTGCCCTCTTTACCTGCCTCCAGAATCCCCTCTCGCCCGCTCCTAATCCAACTTCCCAGCACTTGCTGCAAGTCAGCCTCGTTCAAACCAACCCAATAAAGGGCCCTGAAATGGACTCATTTCCCCAACCAGGGCCCCTGGGCTTCCCAGGGTCACTGAGGCGTTTCCTGGGACTGACTCAAAGGCAGCAAGAGGGGCTCAGGGAGATGGTACCCCACCCAGCCAGGCACTTACCTCTTCCTCTCCACTCACATCCTCCTCTTCACCTTCTTCCTCCTCTTCTTCATCCTCTTCATCTTCCACTAGATGAGCATCCTCATCATACTCTTCCTCTGTGCAGTGGAAATGGGGACAAGAATGAATTGGTGCTGAGCTGGCTCCTCCCTTGCACAGCACAGGCCCCAGGCTGGCGGGCCCGGAAGGGGTGGTAAGGTCCTCACTGTGGGGCCTATGACCTCACACCCCACCAAGGCCCAAAGCCTAGATGCCTAAAGGTGACAGAACACATCCTGAAATGACCTAAAAGATAAGCACTTGAAGTGGTGTGAGCGACAAGTCCTCCTTCCCTAGCTGTACAAAAACGAGAGATCTTTTGTGGAGGTTGAGACCATGGAGAAATGGAGGGATCAGAAGAACAGTTATGAATTAATTTCACAGCCGGGAAAGCTGAGAAATTCTTTTAGAAAGAGCATCCAGCCAAACTGCTCACTTTAAAGCAAGGGTGGGGTACATCAGCCTACGGGCTGTATAAGGCCCCGAAATATTTGGTCTGGCCCTGCCAAGGTATTAGGGGTGAGTTAATTGTTTGACCAAATATAGCAGACTAATTTTTAAGTTGATAATTCTGTACGGCCCTCGAATGATGTCATAAATATTCAAATGGCCCTTGGCAGAAAAAAGGTTCCCCACCCCCACAAGAAATCTGAGGCAGAGGGGAGAAGTGACTTGTTCAAGGTCACACATCACAGTAGTTTGTGCCTAGAAACCTGGTCTCAGGACTCCAGTCCTGGGCCCTTTATGTTGTGTCACAAAGTGCATGAATATTTTGCAAAATACTCCCATCTAACAAGGAAAACCAAAATCTTGGGTCTGAATTAACCAGGTAAGTATGTCCATTCTCAACTGTACTCTGGCCATGAAGACCCATGGAAAAGCCACACTGTGCTGGTGACGAGGGAAGGTAAGAGAAGGCACCCTTTCCTTTCCCTCCCTGCAACCCTGGCTGCTCGCCACACTGCCAGGGAGCCCACCATGCTACCTGCAGCCTCTACTTGCCCGGGTCCCTGGGGCTCACAAGTTCATACCCCCAAGTCCCGGACTGTGGTTCTCTGGGCTGCAGCCACCAGGGGTCCCCACAACCTCTCCAGCTCCATGGCTGGACACCTCAGACCATACCCCACCTTCCTCTATCTGCTCACCCCTCCCTGGGACAGTGTCTGAGTCTAGTCATTTCCAGTGGGAGTTTGGAAAGGGGGAAAAAAACAACAAAAAAACCAACTGAGGCTTCTGCTAGATGGTCTTTAAAAAGTTACTATACAGTCAGAGTCTGAGGATGTTTCTCAGGCTCACACACAGGTCTTTTAGGGGAGTCAACCAATGGCCCAGATTAGGAACACTTATAAGCACAGCAGAGAGCCCCACTCCCTCCATAGCTTTGGAAGGAGGTTGACAGTCCCAACCCTCAGCAGCCAGCGGGGGCCTCCCAACACCCAGGCCACCCCTCTGTAAAGCAGGGAGGAACCGGGCCTGCCCTGGCCTTCACTCGGCCACCCACCATCCTCATCCTCCTCGTCCTCCTCCTCCAGGCCCTCTACGTAGCCCTCAGCGTCGGAATCAGGGGCCTCCTTGTCGTCCCGGTCATAGCCATCGAGATATGTAAGTTGTGGGAGGAGCTTGAACACGTTTTCTCGGTAGTCGTTCAGGTTGGTTACCTCACAATTGAAAAGGTCTAAGCTCTTGAGGTTTTCTAACTTTTTCTGCAAGCAGAAAAATAAAGTCAGCAGTGAGTGACCTGTGGGAGGCAGGAGAGGAGGGGACAGGTGGGGAGAGGGGAAACCACCCAGGGGAACAGGTGGGGATGAAGTGAGACAGTGTGAAGAGCAAAGGCCACAGTGGGTAAAGAATTCTGATTTGGTCCTGCTTGGCCACAATGTCCACCCAAACATATCACCCCTGGTGGATGGGCCTCAGTTTCTTCACCTGGAAAATGAAGGGTTGGATTTTATCGTTAAAATCTCATCCAATGCCCACACTTTCATTCTGCTTGAAATTCAGGTGGGGCTCTCTTGGTGCATGAGACAAGAGCTGTGCTGCCTGCCCCTGTGACGAGGGGCCAGACGGGAACTAACATGGCAGCATGAGCCAACATACTAACCCCTGCTGCTAGAATAATAGGAGTCAACACAGCACTTGTGTACTAACTCAGTTTGTCCTCAGGACCCTGATAAGGTAGAAATAATTATTCGCTTGTTTTCCAGATGAAGAAATAGAGAACTGGGGTTTGGCAGCCCTGCTTCCCCCTGTGCATACTCTCCACCATGCTGCCTGTCAAAAAGGACAAGAGAAAAACTGGCATAGGATCCAGATTTTGTTCATGGCACTTAACATGAATACATTTGCTTTGGCAAAGCTTTATCTAAGAGGGTTTAAGCTCATATATTCCTGCTTGGTGTCTGAGGAAACTGAGGCCCAGGAAGTGGAAGGGTCACACAGACAGCAAGAATACCCTGCCCCAGGCCAAGCCCCTGCTCCCGTGGGGCCAGGCCTAACAGGTGACTAAAGCCACTGTCCCTCAGGGTCAATGTCAGCAACCAGGTTGCTCTTTCAAGAGCTCACGATAGAGACCTGACCATTCTCAGCCGAGGGTCAAGGGCAGGGAGGGAATCTGGGCTGTGATTTGGGTAGGTGAGCCCAGCACCTCCAACCAAAGCAGTTGCCCACCCTTTAGCAGTGAGTGTAACCCATCGGCCACACTGATCACTAGGAAAAGGAAGCTACAGAAATGTGTGGTCTGGGTGGGGAAAGCATGGGGTGTGTGTGTGTGTGTGTGTTATATCTGATCTCTAACAATGACTGATTCACAGTGTTTTATACACTTGGTCCCTCACCTCCCAAACACACAGATAGACCTTCACACATTTTTCCTTTTGTAATGAAATTAAGACTTTCAGATATACAAAATTGTTTTGCTTTCCCATCAGGAGGACTTGACAAGAAGTTCCATGGGAAGGCAGGCCATTCTAGTGGGTGACCCCCTGCCACAGATGGGCAGAAAATGTCTAGCTTCCCGTTCTGCCACCGAGGCCATCCACCAGCCCCCGAGCACCCACAGAGGGCAAAGAGTGCTTTTCGGACAAGAACCTACAAACCCAACTAAGGATTGCTCCAACCTCCACCCTCAGAAAAGGGAAAGGTGACAAAAGACCCTCAGGGCTTTTCCCTGATTCTAAGTTGCATGGCGTATGAAGTGACTTTTAGTGTGGTAATATTTCTATCTTTCAAAAAAATCTACTAATGAACCAAGGACACATCTTACATTTGACCTCCTTTAAAAAAAATCAAGATAATTCAGCCATTCAGATCCTGCTTATGTAAAAATTGATATCCTGACCAGGACTTGCCTGTTCCGGCTAGTAAGAATGTTTGGGGTGTGTTCAGCTCCAGGAAGACAGCAGAGGAAGGCCAGCACAAGGCTCCCAGACCACAGTCCTCTGCCCCCCCAGACGGCTTGTGTCGGGGCCAAGCCATCTCTCACCCTTCAGAGGCACCAGCCTCGGCCAGTGACCGAGGAGAAAACAGATCTGCCTCCTCTGGGATCAGCCTAATTCTTGGATGGATCCTCCCTCCCCAAAGAGGGGCCAGGAGCTTGAAGAAATGTCAGCTCGTTTCCAGAATGAAGCAGACACTGCATGAGGAAAAGCATGAGGCCAGAAGCTGAGACTAGGGCAGGGATGGTGAACCTATGACACGCATGTCAGAGGTGACACGTGAACTCATTTATTTGGTTGATTTTTCTTTGTTAAATGGCATTTAAATATATAAAATAAATACCAAAAATATAAGGCTTTGTTTTATTATGGTTGCAAATATCAAAAAATTTCTAGATGTGACACGGCACCAGAGTTAAGTTAGGTTTGTTCAAAATGCTGACACGCCGAGCTCAAAAGGTTCGCCATCACTGGACTAGGGTCCTGGTCTTCACGCAGACTGCCAGCCTGGCTGTGTGACCTGGGCCGTCACTTAACTTCTCTAGGTCTCAGTTTCTTGACGGATGAAGCAGAAATAGTTGCTCAAACTCTATCTCACAGTACACAGTGAGAATCCAATGAAGTAAAAAAAGTAAAATAAGGGGGGGGGGCCGTTATACAAAAGCAGCATTCCCTGATATCATCCCGCCCTCCGCCCGCCCTGTGGAGAGGGAAGGACCCAATGACTCACCAGTGGCTCTATTGTGCTGAGGTCTTTAATTTTGTTGCCACTTAAGTTTAGATGCTTGAGGTTCGGACACTTTTCTGCCAATACTTCCAGGCCCCCTGAGATTCTGTTATCGCTTAGTTCAAGCTAAACAAGGCAGGGAAATAAAAAGCAGAAACAGCTTTAAAATGAAGGCTCTACGCTCAGAGCCTGGCAGACAGCAGGGCAGGCAGCTGGATACACCCTCAATTACGCTCCCTAAACATGAAGTGATGGCCATTCCTCCTCCCCACCCCCACCGCCTGCCTGAGGGCGCACGTGCACGTATGTACACACACACACACACACACACACACACACACACACACACACACATTCCTCTACACTCTATTTACCTTCTTAAGTTTGTTTAACTTTGGTAAGTTTGCGACTGAGGTGAGGCCTACGTTGATTGTACTTAAGAACTCCAGTTCTTCAAATTCATCTGTGAGGCCTTCGATTTTGCCTTCACAAGACCGACAGTTGTCCAGGACAAGCTCTTTCACCTGGAAAGGGAAGGACTGTGTGAATGGAGGAAGGAACGGGGCCGAGGCAGAAAGGGGTCAGGCCTCCTTGGAGGACAGGGAGACAAAGCCAGGAAGCAGGCCCTCGTTAAAACAGCACTGCACATGCCCACCCTGGTCTTTCTACCTGGGGGGCTCAGGTTGAGGTGAGCGGAGCTACAGAACCAGGGGCCACTCCAGACGGGAGGCACGGCCCAACGGCAGAAGATAAATTCAGTAAGCCCTGCTGCATCGGCAACACTGGTGGTCTCATTCCAACCCTACCATGCACCACCACAGCCTCCAGATCCTCCCTCTAATGCCAGGGGACCTCTGAGCCTCACCCCACGCCCATCATGGCCCCAGCCTGACTGGACTGAGGCCAGTTCCCTACTTCCCCTCCTCAGCCCCTGTGCTCCCTTCCCCTCCAAGTGTCTGTGACCTTCTTCCTGTTGGCATACCCTCCCTCTCTTGCTCTCACACCGCTCTCGCCACCAGTCATAACCTGCCCACCTGGCCTGGAATTTGTCACCATGGTCACTAATTGGCCTACCCCAGGGTAGGGAGAGACAATTACCGGGCTCCTCCAACTCTCCATTCGCTAGACCACTGCTGTCCCACAGAACTCCTGTGGCCAGGGAAACCCTGTGCTGTCCAAGAGGGGAGCCACCAGCCACAGGTGGCCACTGCACACCTGCAATGTGGCTGGTGAGACCCAAGAACGGAGTTTTAAATTTAATTTAATTTTAATTAATATTAAAAGACATGTAAGCTACCATATCGGATATCTCAGCTCTCAGCTTTGCCCTTTGGGGACCTGAGTAGATGTGGAAGGAGAGAATGGAAATCCACAAGTCAGAATGGACCCATAGCGAAATGCTGAGGGCAACCAAGTCCAAAAGCTGGTCTTTGGAGGCACTTCTATGGCTCTGCCCCCTGCCCAACTCTCTGGAGGCAGTTTGCCCTATTAGGGGTCTTAGATTCTCCTCTCTTGGGCCCCATCCTTTGTTTCTAATGAGGCAGAAAGAACTGATAAAAGAGCCGCCCTCTCATCAGGTTGTTAAAAGGCAGACTTGGCGGACGCCGGAGGGCAGGCTTTCGGACACTAGCTGAGAAGAGCGATTACGTCTCAGGCCTGAACTGATCCAGGGAGTCAACCAGGGCAGCCGGGGTGCTGGCCCTGCAGGCAGATGCCCGTTACCCACTCGGGTCCCTGACAGGCTGAGAGGCCCTGGCCCCCCAGGGCTGACAGGCACCTTACAGATGATTCCTCCTGGGCACACCTGGGCCTGACATAGCACCCCTGCCTGCTCCCTGCAGCCCCCAGGAAACACGCACTGCTGCCGCCTGGCCATGGTGGCGCTAGGACTTCCACCCCCAGGCCAGACTTCTCACCCTCCGGTCACATGGATGGGCCCGTCCTTCTCAGCAGCAGCCTTACAATGTCCAAAGGGTCACTGCTGCCCCTCAGAGCCTCTTCTTCTCGGGGATAAGCAGTCGGACCCTCTAACCTGCCTGCCAGGCTGCCCCACGCTTCCCTGCAGCAGTTTGCATAGCTCTTCCCTGCAGGGCCCAGGATGACCATCTTGCCAAGGTCCTCCAGGTGCCCCTCTGATTGGGGCATCTCTGGGTCAAATGCCAACTTGGGGGAACAGACCCACAGCAGGCCTGCCGTGCCCCTCCTCAGGCTACCCTTGCCAGTGGGCAGACTAGGGGAGCTCAGGGCACATCAGTGCTCTCTTCCTCCCTGCTGGAGCGATGCACGCGGCTCAGCCCAGAACAGTGGCAATTTGCAAGGAGGGGCCGAGCACAGCACAGCATTAATCCCTCACGGCTAGGAAGCTCTGGACCTAGGCACAGGCGCCAAGGCCCACCTTTCCTGGGGCCTCTCCTGTCCTTTCCCACTCTCTCAGTCCCCAGGAGAGGCCAGATGTCCGGGTCAAGTCACCTTCTCAAGGTCAGTGGCAAGAATGCCTGGGAATAAGTCCTACCCTAGGGCAGGAAATCAGTGTAGAGCCAGGAAGCCAGGCCTCAGGGGAGCAGAGCAGATGGAGGGAGAGCAACTGTACCGGGGGAGGGAGGACCCTCCTTCAGTCTGTAGTAAACGCCGGAGTCACAGGGCCCACCATCTTCTTTAGTTACTGTTTCCTTGGAAGGTCTTGGGAGTTCTGTAACCTCCACCAAAGAAAGACAAATATGAGAACGGATTCCAATCCGCCCTCAACGATTTCAGACATGCGATTTCTCTAACCGGGTCAACGCCGTCTCCTCTTAAGGCCATTTGCCAAGGAGAAGGCCCCAGAGCTGGGGGAGGTGGTGCTGGAGAGTCAAGGGAATTCCTCCTGGAAGTCGACCTCTTTCCCGGAGCAGCGCAGTGCTGCCTGGGAATTCTACAGACAGAGGCTCCAGCTCCAGCACCACACCAAACTGGTGGCCATTCCTCTCCGGACCAATATGCAAGTAAGTGCTACTATTACTACTGTGTTATTGATAACAATCCTGGGCTCTTTCCTGAGCCCTCAGCAGGCACCCTCTAAGTGCTAGCTAGACCCACAATGGCTCCTGTTTCTCACGGGCAGGAGTGGTCACAGGAGGGTGTCTGCTGGGCCTGGTGGTCAGTGTTGGCTCCCGATGATTTCTGACATTCTCATATATAGGGCACAGGCACTCCCAGAGCCCCAACTCAATCGAACAAGCTGCCCTGGCAGCCACCTGCTCCCCTTCTACCCCTCTTTTAACTGTTCCACCAGCCGGGTGGGGGCCACTCCCAGCAGTCCCCACCCTGGTTACACTTCCTCAGTAACCAAAGCACAAAACAACCCAGCCCTCGCTCAGATGAGGCTGAATCAGGGAGCACAGATCTGGAGAGGGGCTGGGGGACCCCACTCTCCCCAGGGAGCAAGAGGCTGCTTTGTCACTGGCAAGGGAGGCCTGTGGTGTCTGGGGGCCAGGTCTGTGGGGTTTGTAGGTCTGTGGGGCGTGCAGGATCCCCGGGGTTCCTGCATTTCCTTCCTGTTGGGGGTTTCGGCACTCCTTGGGGTGAGATTAAAGAGGAGGGGCAAGTCTAGACCCCAGGGTGCTTTCACCAAAATGTACAAACCACACTGGGGGAAAACCCTTCTTTGTGGGTCGATGGGGATGGCAGGTAAGCTGCCTGTGAAAAGTCTGAAATGGACCAAACAGGAAAAAAAAAACGCCAACCCAATAGCAGAAGTCAGTGGGCCCACCCCTACCTCGGACGAGGGCCACACTTCTTAGCGCTCCCGAGTAGGAACAGGCTATCTATCCACACCTCCAACGCGCCCCAGCGTTCCTTAAACCACTCTGAACTGCCGCAATTGCCACCGGCTTCCTCCCATCTCTGCTTGGTGACCAAGCTCCAAACCAGCGGTTCTCAACCTGTGGGTCGCGACCCCTTTGGGGGTCGAACGACCCTTTCACAGGGGTCGCCTAAGACCATCGGAAAACACATATATAATTACATATTGTTTTTGTTATTAATCACTACGCTTTAATTATGTCCAATTTGTAGCAATGAAAATACATCCTGCATATCAGATATTTACATGACAATTCATAACAGTAGCAAAATTACAGTTATGAAGTAGCAACGAAAATAATTTTATGGTTGGGGGTCACCACCACATGAGGAACTGTATGAGAGGGTCGCGGCATTAGGAAGGTTGAGAACCACTGCTCTAAACCCCTCCAGGTGAAGAGAGCATCCCTGACATTCCAGGGAGTGTTCTCTTTAAAAAAAAAAACAAAAAACTTAAGGCCCATTTCCTCCTGCCAAATCCTGGGTGTGAGCTAAGTGCAAAGTTAAAATTAAACCGGAAATTTGTACTTTGGGTTTAGACTCTCTCCCAACTCCACTGGCTGTTTAAAAATATCCGAATGTGGTTACTCTCTTTCTAGTTCAACAGCTGGGACGACACTGCGTGTATCAGGAGCTCTTCAGACACGCCAATGACAAACCTACCCAGGACCCTCTGCCTCATGCCTCAAGTGCTGACACCCCAGAGAAGCCTGAATAGCCACACTCGGCCAAAGAGATGCGAGTGGGGCACTAAGAAGTTCCCTAGAAGTCAGACTGCCCGGCCCCGGTATTTCCTGAAAAACTTGTCCACAAAGCAAGAGTGCAGTGGCCATTTCTCACCACCGAGAGCTGTGAGGTCCACGATCCACATGAACACATTATTACTGAGGAGCCCACTGGCTGTTCCAAAACTGTGCAATCGTGTCTTTACAGTGGCTCCAATCTGGCCATTCCTCTGTGTTCCCAACACTGCAGCCTGGTCCTGGCCAGTCACGTAAGTCACTCTGAGCCTGCTCTGCTTCCCAAGGGGCCTCTGTGACAGCAGGGACACTGGACTCCTGGGACTAGGCCCTGACTGGAGGCCAAGGACCCTGCTGATGGGCTGAATGAACCCTGACTGTATCCCTGAGATGTTGGGCTCAGCCTCTGCAGAAAGGGGATATTTGTTAACCTATAAAATGCAAACTCTCCCTAGAAAACATTCCCAGCTTGTGGCCACCGCCTAGGGCAGGGGTGGGCAAACTTTTTGACTCGAGGGCCACAATGGGTTCTTAAACTGGACCGGAGGGCCGGAACAAAAGCATGGATGGAGTGTTTGTGTGAGCTAATATAAATTCAAAGTAAACATCATTACATAAAAGGGTACGGTCTTCTTTTCAATAGTTTTATTCATTTCAGATGGGCCCCCGCAGGCCGTAGTTTGCCCACGGCTGGCCTAGGGGGAGGGGGAATTCAAGTCCCTAAACTCACCTGGAGGCCCTCCACTCTGGCTCTCCCCCTATGTCCTCCAATCTCATTGCTCCCCGCTCTCATCCTTGCACAAGGCCCCCCTCCCCAGGAGGCCTTCCCCTGCGTCCAGCTCTGAGCATCCCAGGGCACCGAAGGCAGCTGCTGCATGAATCATTTAATCGTGTATTAAGCATTCGAGCCTCCTAGAGGTCAGGGACTGTCCTTCTCCATAATC